GAGACACACCGCGGTCCCACCGCCCGGGTCCTCCGCGGCTTTGCTCCGCGTCTCCCTGGTCTGCTGGTCTCCGCGGCTGTCCCGCTGCCCGTGTGCTCCCCCCGCAGCAGACCAGGGAGACGCGGAGCAGCTTTTCTTGCCCCGGAGGACGCGGGCGCTGGGACCACAGCGCATCTGGGCGTCCCGCCGCTCCCGTCCTCCGGGGCAAGAAAAACCCCGTTTGTAACTGCAGATCCGACATAAGTCGGATCCGCGTAACTCGGGGACTGCCTGTACTGGAAACATCATCATCAAGCAGGGTGAGGGTTAGGCGGGTGCTTCCGCACCCTGAGTTCCAGCAGACATGCATAGATCCTATTGGAATGCACTAAGAGCTTCTTAGTGTGTGTTAATGTAGTACTGTTTGCAATGGGGCTATATGAATATGCAGTAGGGAACTTTTAGTGCATACTAGCAGGGTTCATGTGGGGCATTTAATGCACAATATACTAGTGCACTCTAAAATTTACACCTCTCTAGTGCAGACTAATGCGCTGTATAGACAGCCCAAGGGGTGTTGAGTGGCCAAATGGCCTAGTGCTTAAAAGATTCTGGCTGCCTCTCACATAGGTTCTCTGAAGATTACACGGGATCTGTCCCCACCTTCCTGCAGCACCCCTGTGCAAGTGCATCTAAAACTGGACTCTTCATGTATTTCTGTGATTGGGTAAAAAGAAGAAACTCTCCCCTGCCCTTCCCTGCACTGTACTGCTGCTGCGGAAGGTAAAGGCATGCTGCGATTCCCCCAGGAACACGGCTGTAGGAAAACACAAGACAGCATTTTGGCACAGGGTATTGCAGTTCTTGCAGTAGAATCTTTGCAGTCTATTTTTAAAGCCTCGCCACTTCCCATTTCAAACAACTGCAACAATAAAAGACTGAGGCCGAGAGATTCTGGATCCAGTGCATTTTAGTGCAAGTTTAACTTCAATGCAGTTACTGAAAACATGCTAGAAGTAAACTCTGCTGATTCTTCCTTTAGTTTAATGCACAGAGATGGTGGAGAAGTAGCAGCTAATCCCAAGTGTCCTTAACCATCTACTTCAGTTTTACCTCCTTCCCCTGCTCTCCACCTCCCATTCTCTCCACTTTATCCCTGAGAACATATGTTCTAAACCAAACTTCACAGTGATATCAGTAGGTGCCCCTCCCACTTAGGGTTACCAGATGGTTAAAAAAAAAAAATACCAGACACATTTGATCTCAGATCTGAGGGGAACAGGGCTGGCCGGAGGAGATCGGGGGAGGGGAAGAGAACCGGTCAGTGGGAAGCAGGGCTGGCTGGGAGGGAGCCGGGGGGGGGGGGGGAACCGGCTGGCAGGGGGAAGGGTTGGTCCTGCAGAGCCTGCATTCTTATCTGCCTACTATCAATCACCCAAAGGGATGACAAATAATGAAGGACTTGAATAAGGGTCACAGAATAATTTGGCAGCTGTAACAGGACAGGCCTGCTAGTATTCATGTTATGTAAAACCTTCATGACACTTCTATAACTTGAGGAAATCTCAATGAGATTAGTCAGATTTCAAAAGAGATTAAACAAGATTCCACAGCAAACACTTGTGCACACATATACATACACCAGACTTTTGACATGAGGTAGCAGCAGCTGAATTTTTCATACAGTGGAGTGAGTTAGCACAAGCATTTCCTGAAAACTGTCCTTGCTACTTTATTCAATTTGTTATTAACCAGCCTTTTATTTCCACTGAAGGAAATCTGAACTGACTAGAGAGGAGTTGGGAGAGTTTAGGGAAGGTGCCCAATTATCCCATGCCCCAGCAGCCATCACTCTGAGCACAAGAGACAGAATTAAACACCTGACTCAAATGGTAGATTCAAAGCCAACACACTGCAAAGAAACTTGTGCTTTACAAAGGGAAAGCATCCTGACTTTATAAAACAGATGCACAGTAAGTTTACAGTCTCTACCCACGCCTGCACTAGAAATGTTCAGAGATTTTCAATGAGCAGTTACTCAAACGGAAATATCTACAGTGAAACTTCAGTATCTGAAGAGAGGCTGCTAAAAAGACCAACAAAAGGAGAATTCATAGTAGAAGATAGTCTTTAACTAAAGGTTAACTAAACTGTAATGGAAACCTTAAGGAAGGCTTTGAAGGGGTCACTCTCAAACCAAAGGGTTGCTTACAGCAGCAGTTGTGTCAAATAAAAAACGGAGGAAATGAAAACAATAGCATATTTTGGGAGTATTTGTTCCAAAATTAGTGGAATCAGGGTTCCTGAAAAGGCATTATGAGTTACACAATGAAAGACTTGGATATCAAGGAATGGTTCGAGTCAGTGTAAATAAGTCTATTAAAATTATTGCATCAATGAGGTCTGCTAAGTTCATCCCTGTCAGTTAAAGTTAAGAAGTACAAATCTAATCAATGCACAGGCAAAGCATATGTTTGTTTGCTCAGGTGTTACATTTATGAAGGTTATTAATAGTTTGTGACATTCACCACTGATCTAGGGGTAGCAGGCTCCTAATGACACGTAGCAGAATCGGCAACTATTAGCAGCCTAGAAGGGACATGTATCTCACCAGTTATACTTTCAGAACAGCCAGGCTATAACAGTTCCCAAATCTGATCCCGCCATAAAAGTTTTTAAAAGAAAAGGGGCCCTTTTTTATTCAGGTAAAGAACACCAACTGTGAAAATGGATCTGAAAAAAGCCCTGATTCTCCACAGGTTAGAACCTTTTATAACTATTTATATCTGTGCAAAGAGTTAGTACAACTCTACTAAACAAGAACACTCCAGTCATTCAAACACACACCGGTGAGAGCCTTTCATACCTGCTTTGCATAGAGGTAAACAATTGCATCAGTACACAGCAATAGAGAACCTAGCCTTCAACTGTTAGCCCTGGTCAGGGCCGGCCCTAACATGAGGTGAACTGAGGCGGCCGCCTAAGGTGCCAGACTGCAGGGGGCGTCACTAGGACCCAGAATGTAGAAAATTGTGTCTGCTGCCGGGGCCTATGTATTCTCTCTGCCCAGATGCACAGAGCTGGAGGAGTTACAGTAACAGATGGCCACACTCAGGGCTGAGAGAGGTGTGCAGGGCATCAGTGCCTGGTAGAGTACAGCCGCTACCAGTTTAAATACAGATGCTCTAGCCCACTGGTTCCCAAACTTTTCGGCATCACGCCCCCTTTCTGATTTTTGAGAAACCCTCACGCCCTTCCC